CATAGATCACCAACTGCAGTTACGGGAACTGACTGCGATGGCGGGTGTATGTATCGATTAATTTTCATTAGTTGGCACCGCTGACAAACCAGTACATATTGTGCCACATCGTCTCTCATGCCTGGTCAATATGCACTCGTCTTACTAGATCAGTCGTTCGTGTGATACCTGTATGGGCTACCTGGTGACACTCCTGTATCATCTTATGCCTCATGTTCTTTGGGATCACTGCCACCCAATTTTCATCATCATCTCGCCAGATCAGGGCTGCATATGTGCTGATCCTCAGTCTCTCCTTTTGTCGAAGCAGCATTAATACCTCGTTGTTCATCTGCCGTTTGTCAATATCTGCCCCTTTTTTTATCACTCTGATCACCTCTCGAAGGTTAGGGTCAACCTTTTGCTGCCGGATGAGTTCTAGTGGGTCTCCGTCAAGGCTATTGACTGCGTATGCTGTCACTGGGAGCTCAGCATCCATCTCCGGCCTCGATAAGTAGTCCGCCACCAAATTTTCTCTTCCTGGAACGTGGTCGATACTGAAGTCGTACTCCTGCAGACGTATCATCCATCGCGCCAACTTGAATTGCAGAATCGCTTGAACGAGTCCACAACAAGTTGTGATCCATTATCAGTTACCAAGGTTTCTGGCACTCCGAAACAACTAAATAAGGTAGACAGCTTCTGAATAGTTTCCGAGGCTGTACAATTCGGCATACTGTATATTTCTGGCCATTTTGTATACGCATCTACAATAATTAGAAGCATTTTACCTTAGATTGGGCCAGAGAAATCTGCATGAATTCTCTGCCAAGGTCCAGTAGGTTTCTGCCATTGTTGAGGCTCGCATTTCGAATGGTTTGTTTGCGGCTTGTCAGCACGAAAGGCAGTTTCGGCATTTGGATTCTGTTCAACTACTGGGAGAGAAGCATAAGGTACAGGTCTTTTTGGTCGAAAAACAGAAATAGCTGTTGACTTGAGAGTCATTAGTGCTTTGGCTTTCGTACATTCGCCCAACGCTTCCGAAAATACTTCATGATGCCTTCTTATATTGGCATTTCTCATATTTGACTCTAAATGGTTGTTGATTCTAACTCGGCGGCAGATATTGTTGATAGGATTGTGTGTTAATTTTAATGCATCTATCAGATCCAACCCCAATAAATCAAGGTCTCGGTTCTTAGTTAAGTATACAGTTGCACTCGTTGTTGCCTCATTTTTTGAAACAGTGCACAATATTTCCCCAACAGTATTTAACTCGCCGCCAGATGCGCTGTGTGCTAGTTGCTTCGTTTGGTGAACTGTAGGTCTTCCAATTTTCTCCCAAGTTTTTGCACTGATAAGGGTGATATCAGATGCTGTGTCAAGTTGAAGACAGATACGGTGTGAATTCATATCCAAAGTCACATACTTTCTTCTGTGGTGAATTCTTGTCTGGTTATGAGACACCAATACTCGGTTTATTGGCTTACCAGAACTGTATTTCTTAGAACCGACTTTCGCGGAGTAATGTCTGCGAGTTTTTGTCCTACATCGGGTTTCTTTGTGGCCCTTTTTGTGACATTTAGGGCAAACGTATTCTTTGTATGGACAAAACTTCTTGTAGTGCCAACCTCCACATGACCAGCATGGAGATGAGGGCTGGTTGTCTGTGCTTTTGTGATGCTTTTGTGAGCCGGAATATTTCTTTTCACTAACGGCATGCACGTATGATGTACGGCCATTGTTTTCGACCATAGAGGTATCATGCTTCAAATTTACTAATCTCTGATACTCTGCAGTTATTTCTTGAAGCGAGATGTTTGGGCACTGCTCAATTTCACTTAAGATTCTGGTTCTTATATCAGCATCTTCGGGAGATTGTAGGCTGCACACAAACACAAGGCACTTAAACTGGTCTTCCGTCATTGATGATAGTTTAAATCGTTCGCATTCACGATTTACTAAGCCGGCGTGTTTTACCCAGTCATCCTCATTTGACTTAGTTATTTTGAGGCATTCATAACGAATATTAAATAGAGATGACTGTTCAGAGAAGATTTGCGACAGCGTTTCAATTGTGGCATCAAAAGAGAAATCTCTTGGGTTCTTTGGGTGGATGAACTTACTATAACGTTCGTGTTCGATTGTGCCGAGCTTTCTCAAGAGGATTCTGACTTTGGCGGCGTCATCAAGTTTGTTGAGGTCGACCTTGGACAAATCCTCATACTTCTTGAACCAAGACTCGAAAGTCACACCAGCTACGCTATCAAAATGAAATTCATGAATAGAATTAATTATCGAGTCTGTATGTGGATTATATGAATCATCGGTAAAACCTCTGTGATTCAGATTCATTTGTTTCATTAACATCTCTAACATACGTTCCTGGAATTGTTCATATCGTTTTCCTTGACGTTCCAGTAAAGATTCTATTGTGTTCAAGGGTAATTCTACAATTTATTTGTCCCTATTTTAATTTCCTAAGGTCTTTCTAAACACCTGCTTAACTTTTTGATCTCTACACTATCCTTTGTAGTTTTAGTTCGCATGAAATATATTCCTTCATAACACATAATATTTCGATTTCTGCTTTCACATCACTGTCAATCAATGAAGTAGCGATTTACTAAGTGTCTAGGGATACGAGATAATACAGGATAATTTCGTACTGAAGTCAGGCTTTACTACTTACTGAGGATACTATTTACATATGACACAGCTAAATGGCTTTTTAATTCATACTAATTTTATGGAAAAAGTAGAATGAATATTCAACCCAAAAATGAGGAATAAGTATATGCATATCGAATGTACACTGTACTTGTAGTAGTCGCTGGAATTTAATTATCTAAACTGCTACTTTACACTCATTTGTAATGTAAGACTTCTGAAGAAAAAAAATTTAACGGATGACAACAGAGAATAGTATACAGCTGGCTGTATTTTCTGTTTTATGGTATGATCATCATGATATATACTTCTATATAGCCATAAATTCTGCTAAATAAAATATTTCGATTTTTGCTGATAAGATTTAGATCTGATTATTAAACGCTCTTTTAGGCTGACTAAAGAAGTGTTGTTTTTTCTGTTTTTGGTTCGCACATATGATGCAAAGAAGCTGTCCATGTGAGATCCTAACATAGATATTCGTGTATAAATAGTATTAATTACAGTCAGAAGTATAGAATGATATGAATGACGCCAGCCGACGCGTTACAAAATTTCTTGTACGTCTATCGGACAACACCAAATGAGTTGTTACCGGAGCAAAAGTCCCCAGCAGAAATCCTGATGAGAAGAAGATTGAAAACGACCCACAGCCTGATGCATTCAACTAATGCACCATCAGTAGAGACAAAGCCGCAAAGACAACCCGCTTACGAAGTGGGATGCCCTTTGTTTGCCCGCGACTACAGAACAAACCATATCCTTGGGCAGAAGCAAGAGTGATCAGAAGGGTTGGATGAGTTATGTACGAAGTGGAAGTCGGAGGCGATAGGTGGTCACGCCACTGAAGCCAGATACGCAAACGGCTAGCCCCAGATCGACCATCAAGAGTAGAAAATCTACCCCTTGACATCCTGCCTGATACCTTCAACTTACCAGCAGCCCCCTCACGAGAAGAAACTCAGTCACAAGCTGATCTCCGTTCCAGAAAGTATCCTCTCACACAGCGGCGAACAACAGTCAAGATGCAAGTCGACCCCACGAGCGGACGCTATTAAAAAGGGGAGGAGTGTTGAGGATGGTAGATCCCCAGAACTCGCTTGATAAATATTTTGTATTTTGGATTTATTTCAATATGTACTTAAATAATAATTATCTTAAATAGTGATAAGACAACTGTTATTTGTTCATGTAGATAAGGTTTCTAGCTCCCCATAAGGAACACTTTGTTTTCCTACCAGAAATATGTAACTGGGTTCAGCAAAAGTTTCGTCTTATTTATTAGGAATTATGGACAGATAAGTGTATCACTTACAAATTAACACTTCAGTATAGTATTTTCATCTTCAAATAATTAATTCTCCTACTGAGAATGGAAACAATTTTAAACCTTCATTAGTGAATTGTGTTTGATCGAGCTTTCTAGAATGAAATGAGTATACATAAAGATTACTGAAACGCAGTTTAATTGATGTTCAAAATGTTGACCAATTAAATGAAATAAAATGATCTAGAGTTCAACAGATTCGTACTATGACATAATCTCCTTTGATGTTGGATAGTAGGGTTGAATAACGCAGAGACCTCAAATCTCTGTTTCACGATTACATCAATGATCGTCAATAAAGCATATATATATCTACAGTGTGTAGGAGATTTACTCGATTAATAAATTTTAAACAATATTAATTAATCAATGAATGGTTGATTATGTTAGTGTTATTTAAAAATTCATTCTTTTCACTATCCTCATCTTAATTTATGATTAGTCTGATTTTACTTTAAATGTAAGTTAACCTGAAGACTGAAAAATAGAATGTGTGAGTAATTTTATTCATCATGAGACGATAATATTTTTTAAAGAAAAGTTAGTCACAAACAACGATATATTAGGTCATCACAATATTTGATTAGTCAAACTGACTTTTGTTTTCTTCATAGACCAAATAATTAGATGGGCAAGATTTTCATAGTTTGCATAAAATATCCATATGTATGTATTCGTGTTTGTGCATAATCTTTGTTCACTTATAATCTATATCAATAATGCTTTAATCAATTCAGATTTTAATCTCCAGAGATTTCGGATAGTAGGAGTTATAAGCGAGAAAACGAAATTTTGTTTCAGTTATTATTTTTTTCATTTTAATTGCATTTTTTTCAAAAGTGATGCAAGCGCACTTACGCACTGACAAATCGTTGAAATGATGCAAATCAATATTCGTAAACAATAAATTAAAAGAATGATAAAATCCTATAGCTGAAGAAAACTAATTCCGACTTGTAGAATGGTGAAGCCAACAGCTTTTTGGAACATTACAAGTGCTCCGTACTGAAGACTGTGGAAGAGCATGAAAATGATTACTGTTTATCGTCTAACACTTGATAGTAAATTTCAAATAAATGATAGGCTATCACAGATGAAGACATGCGATAGAACAATAATTCTAACTATGGTAATGAAGTTCCTTTATCAGAGAGATACTTGATTAACAGGAGATGAAATCTGAAAACGATATCAACTATGGAAGTCAATAGTTTCTGTTCATTTGATTAACTAATTAGTACTACTAATAAACCAAACTTGCCTTAAAGTTTTCTCATCAGTGAACAGTGTATGGAAATATTTATAGCGATTCGAAACAGTTATTGGACACCTTTTTAAGACTCATCTTCATAGTGTATTTTCTTAGCACATCAGTGTCCACTTCTGATTCGTTACCTAGTTTCTTATACACTTCCAGTTAATCTTTACGAAAGAAGGAGCTAATCCTTGAAAAAAAGATAATAGAGTATAACTTTCACTAAAGATTTGATATTAAACACCCAGAGTTATCCGTTACTGCTTCTGTGAAAATGTCACAATGTAGCGTAGTTCAGAATTCCGGATGAAAGTACAAATGCAGTGAAGGTTAAAGCTTGGAATGAAATTTCGGGTGAGTATTATATTTTACTATGCAACATGGGAACATAACCAAAAGTACGAGGTACAAGATTACTTATTGAAAATTAGTAATGTGACAGTCAACCTTAACCTGGAGAATATAATGATCAGCATATTAAACGAATGGAATAAAAGATATTAAATTGAAAATCAGCACACTAACAGTAACTATTCAACAAACACTTAAAATGTACTTTTATTCACACATTTTCATTGTTCATTTCTGTATAATTCATACCAGTCAGTCTAGTCTCACTTAACTAATGAAACATAAAACATCCATTAGAAATTCCGTATCACTCAGAAATACTCAACTTGTGCTGTCAGTTAATAAAGGTTGGCTCCATAGATTATTTTCCGTAGACTATCACATCAAAATGAGATCATCAGGGCTGTGGCGAACTAAATTATATGTTATCAGGATTCACTTTTTCCTACACAATAAACCTTCACAATAGGTGTAGTGTATATTTTGTTATATTCATCATTATAAAACTAAGCGCTAATTAATTTGATAAACCAATGTTGTCTGACCTAGGGAAACACCAGCTTGTTTATATCCAGTACGCTGATATAAGTATAAAAAGCTAATTTCAAATTTCGTGTGTGTTTATTCTTCTTTCAAAAAAATACGATATCACAATCTTAAAAATATCTACATTGATTTTCTGAAACTGGTTTACTAAACGTTTATATATATATATATATATATATATATATATATATATATATATATATATATATATATATATATATAATACATCAAAATGATCACAAATCCTTACATTGTTTAGATTAGTACATATTACTCAAGATCGAATTGAGTGTAAACCTTTAAACCGAAAAAATAATAATAAACAACCATATCATCACAAATATAAACAGTATTATTAAAGTTTATAATAATATACAAAAAGACTGCAAGTGATTGAAACTAAAAAGAAAAACAAAACAAAACGAAAAACATTCAGAAGAGCTGAGAACTAATAAAAATTCAAGTAGAAAAACGCACACCCAAAAATGGGAGCTGTGCAAACATGAAACAAACAAATAGATAGTTGTTATTAGTTTAAATCTTATTAGAAACCTCATCTACATGAACAAATAACAGTTGTCTTATCACTATTTAAGATAATTATAAAAATTCAAGTAGAAAAAAGCACACACAAAAATGGGAGCTGTGCAAACAAGTAAGAATCATAGAAGATAAGTTGACTCATCCGAGACGAAGAAAGAGAGAATGAGAGAAACAACTCTATTTTTCACCCAAAATTCAAAGGTAGTTAGTTAGGTCAACATTGAAATAGAGCACAAAAACACTGTGTTAACAAACACATTTACTAGTGTTGTTTGTGTTTCCCTTCCACAGAACAATGAAATATTAAGATAACAATACCGAAGCAAAAAAGGTATCTAACTTTCTTTTTATTACCTAATTATTATTTTTTTCTAGTTTTTACAATAAAAAAGTAATAATATTTATTTTTCCCACCGAGTTTCGAATATATCACATTTACATTGGCAACATATATGCATGCATGCATGCATGCATACATATACACTTCCTTGAAGATGATGAAAAAAAGTATTGTCTATGATGAATGAATTATCATTCCTTTTTGTATCTTTTTCTCCAGTTAATACATTGTCACTTTCTTCCGTATAGAAGAGCTCTCTCTCCTTCTCACTGCAAAGATTATGAAAGACATTAAAACATATTTTCAAACAGAATCAAACTATTTCCTTATTTCATAAAAAATAAGAATAAGTTTACAGAGAAATGTGAATACTTTACATTGAATTAATTATTAATAGTAGTAATCTTTCACTGTCCTGAAGAGCAATCAATAAAGTTCTGTATAAGGTAAGATTTATTCTTATTGGACACAGAATATGTTGTAAACCTTCACTTTGTGTTTACGAACACAGAGAAAGAAAAAGCTAGAGATGGATAATTTCAATGGTTAAGAATCACAAATAAGAGTAATTGAAGAAAGATACTATACATGAATTACTTCTCCTTTGCAGACATTTCTTTCTACTGTATACGATATAGAATGTAAGAACCCCCGGAAATAAGTAAGTACACGTAACCATATCTCATAGATATATGATATGATAATTGTTATTAGTTTAAATCTTATCATATCATATATCTATGAGATATGGTTACGTGTACTTACTTATTTCCGGGGGTTCTTACATTCTATATCGTATACAGTAGAAAGAAATGTCTGCAAAGGAGAAATAATTCATGTATAGTATCTTTCTTCAATTACTCTTATTTGTGATTCTTAACCATTGAAATTATCCATCTCTAGCTTTTTCTTTCTCTGTGTTCGTAAACACAAAGTGAAGGTTTACAACATATTTGTGTCCAATAAACAAGACGATCCACATGGAATCATCCGCTTATTGGACCGTATATACCACTAGGATGGGAACGCGTCGACTCAAGTCAAGCTGGTGTTTACTATCAAAAGTAAATCATGAAAATAATTACCATTATTATTGTTAATTACTAATGATTATCATTATTAGAATACCATGTACTACCTTAAATTGTTTATTTCTGGATTAGTGTATAAACATTTATACTTTCTTAATAAATCTTCTAAATATCTCACTATATATCGACAGTTTCATTCTTTGTCATATTAGGTATTGTTGCTCTTATCAAGAGGCTATATATGCGATTGTATCAGGTTTGAAGAATTTTACTACAGGGGATGATCATGATTACTAAAATCTTATACCATAGATTGATCACGGTTGGACAACCGTTCAAATTAAAAAACAATGGGGAGCTGTTCAGTTCCGGTATGGGAGTCAGCGGTACATATCTCCAGTTTCACCGGAGATTGGTTACAGGACTTTTAGGTCCCTTTTTGGACGCTTAACCTTTAGACCACTGACCTGAAATTCATTGGTTTATGTATTCATATTGAAGAATTTGGTTCCCTTTCTAAATGTATAAAGAAGATCATACTTTTATTATTTTTAATAAGTGATATTATCTGCCAAAGTTTTTCTGCTTTTGTTTTTCATTTCTTTTAATTCATTTAGTCTCTTAAAATGTATCCAATCAAATCGTGATATACTTTTAATGTTTAGTCTTAAAATGCAAAGAAATGCATTGTTACGTTGTCATTGCTAAAAGAGCACAACCTTTTTGAGAACTTGTTTGAAACAGAAGTCTAATTATTCGAAAAATGTTTCGTTTTTAATCAGTGTTTACTTTCTTTGGCGCTATGTATTGAAACTGTTTTATTACACTCGTAAAAAGTTTGTAGACATAAGACCTGTGACAAGTTTTTAGCTAGTATCGAGTGTTTCGTAATTCACTTCATCATTAAATGAATCATGATGTAAGTTTTTTGTGATTGTCTGGTCTACTGGCATATTTATAGATTTAACCCCTAATTAATTAGAGTTAAAGGATGTTCTCCAGAACATTGGATAGCAGAATGATGTCTATGTAAGTTGAAAGAACACTTGAATTCGTACTTTATCCATGGTAAACCAGTCAACTGGTTGCTTAGAATCACATAACGTTACAGTTTCCATTTTCTGAGTCGATTGTTCGACATCATTTATGGACTCCATGACTCCACTTCTTTAGTATAACTTCAACGACTCCATACTAGTAAATGACGCCGGTAAAAGTTGTTTATTATCAGTCCACTGCTCGTGTCCTAATACTCCGTTAGTCTGTCTTGGAAATCATCTCATTTTAAGTATATCAAAATATTTTAAGAGAACAAACAATTCGAGACAAAACATCTTGCATTTTATTTGGAATGTAAAGCCTAAATCAGTGTATTCACATAAAAAATCTGACAACAGTAATAAAATATAATGATCTAAAACTTTATACAAGATACAGTGGTTCGATTAACCAATCTGAACTTGTTTATATAAAGTTCATAGTTTTTGTCAATAGATTCAACTATTTATAATCCCTATATTATTACCTCTGATCGTTTATTGTCTTTATCCATACATGGAGAAAACATGATTTATCTAGTTTTTATTGCATGATATAAGCAATATTTGTTTGTAACCATTCTATGGATGAATACCTGATTATTTTTATGTTTCTTGTTAATAGATGACACGATATTTTGATGATTAAAAAGAATATCGGTAAATATTACATTAGCGTGTAATAAATGACAAATAAAAACTACTATCAAAAACATAAATAAATTATTTTTACGTCTAATAAGTTAGAAATCTATTGCATCCTTCAAGAAAATTAATCCTTCCATAGTGATTATTACATTAGTTCTCTCCAATATCCCGTTTGTGCTACTTCTCTTGTTCATATTCGTACTACACTTCACTGAATACTAAACATATAAAATATATCTTTTTGTCTCCCAGTTTTCTAGAATAAATACCTTTTAGATACCAACTTCTTATTACGACATTTCCTGATATCAGTTATTTCTTCTTACTGTCTTTAAACACCAGATGAAATTCATTGTACTATAATTATGCCAGACATCGTTTACAAGAACTGTGAAAGCAAAGTTTTCAACACTCACTTTTTCATCATTTATGTGAAATGCAGAAAATGAATTCAAAAAACAAACTACTATTATGATTACTTTATATCCATAATGACATAAAATATATGAAGCGTTAATTAAATTAAATATCTCATGGTAAATGCTTAAAATAATGAACTCCAATTCTCCGCTTTTCATTCACTTGTTCCTAATTCATAACATAGAAGATATTTTCAAGTGTTGTATAGTGTCATTTTTAGGCGAAATTTAAATAAGATTTAGTTCAATATCATAATTTAATATTGAAATAAAGTTTACTTTGATCTTGTTTCTGTTTTAGATTAAACTTATTAGCTTTCAATTCAATTTTTACTGCATATTGTTTTTAGTTTACTTATCCCACACTGTCAACGTCATCATCCCAACCTTTGGATTAATGCTCCTTTAAAGGATCCTGAAATAGAACGTAAAAGTTTTTTTACTGATCTACGTAAACTACAATTATCTCTACGACATAATTTACTCGGTATGTATTGTTTTCGTGATTAGAAAACTTTTCTGTACATAAATTATTGAAATATTTATTGTTTGCGAGAATTCAATAGTGGATCTTGACATTTTGATCAATGCTCAATTTGACTTTCATTGTTTTGTTTTCTATCCTTATCTAATGTATTCCAACTGGAGATTAAGATGAATATAATTATTGTTTGTAACTTTTCTTAGATTATTCATGGTATTGTATTCACGTATTCAAGTGTATCATGAACCAATACCTAATCTTTTTGTGTTGAATTTAAAAAAAAAATTCTCTCATCTTAATTAACAGAGTATCGCTTAGCTTAGGCATGCCATATAAAAAATGGTCACTTATGTTATTGTAAAACCAGAATAAGTTTGTTTACTATCAGTTATCATACTACAGAAAGTTTTGGTTGAATATTCGTTTAGGATGAAAATAAACAATTCATTAATGTATACTTGCTTCAATAGATTGATAATGAAGATAATATATATTCACCTTAAATAATATGTATTTTCTAATCAGTTTTCAACATTTTCATTTGAATTTGTAAATGATTATCAGTTTAATATTTAATTTTATGCTCAATTCAATTTTATTATTTTTCTAGCAAATATTTTTTTTATCTGCCTTTTATATAGCTTGTCATGATGAGATAGGAGAATATAAAAATGCCAGTTTAGAACAAGAACAATACTTTATAGTAAGTTGTTGTTTTGTCTATTTTTCTATCGATTAGTTGTTTATGAAAAAACTTACTTTCTACTTTTAAATGAATTTACTTACATTAAGTGAAAGTTGTATTTTACATCGAAATTATTGTGTAATAACGTTGAAATATTAGAACTGAAAATTACTGCATTTAACTGCTACATAAATAATATCGTAGCTGAAAATCTGCTTGTAAATTATCATTTAACTCTCATTAATTAATATCATACAATTTAAACTAAATAAAGAGTTTTTCATTTTGGATCAGAAAATGGAAATAGTACTGTAAATTTTAGAATTATACAATTGGTTAGCTTCGATAAGGAATTTCGTTTAGAATGATTTTCTTCCTTAAATATAATTTGTGAACAAACTTCATTTTAGATTGTATATATTGTATGTGTGTTTTTTTATATTTGTACATATCTATTATTCATTTATGAATTATTTTTTTCCAGTACCTAGAATGTTGCTTAAATGTACTAATTGCATTTTTGTAAATTAACTTCTATAAGTTTTATTTTTTCTTTACTTTATTCTAAATTCAACATCGGCACATATTGCTTGTGATGATTAATATACAAAGTATACAACTGTAAAGGAAGCATTCCAAACTGTAGTAAATGCAGTAACATGAAAAACAAGAAAGAAAAATTATATATATATATATATATATATATATATTGTTTGAATGGTTTTTATTTAAATGTCTTGTCGATTTACTGAAACACCATAGAGACAATCACAGTGAGTGCAAATCTTTTACACAGACCGACTACAATAATCACCTGCTAATCATGTAGTTTGCATTCTTTCCTTTGCATAGTTCAGTATAACTTCTTTAATACCTTTCTTTATAGACTATAAATATCAAGTTGATTTCCTGTACAATAGTTTTTATTTTTTTAATTTTTCGTTTATTCACCTTATTATATTTTATTGTTATAAATACCAGACCTCCAAGTTAGTAAGTTAAATCCCTAACATTTACATGAATATAGACTAGTTTTTATTCCAAAGCATTGGAATAAATACTTAAAGGTTAAGCAATGACTTTATGCATTTTAACTTGATGGTACAGATTTGTTAACATTATGCACAAATTCTTCACATCTTTCATTTTGTAACAAAAAAAAACGCACTTGCCTGCAATATTGTTCACATACAACAATCATAACAGTACTAACTAATGATTTTAAAAAAAACCTTAATAACAGAATATTTTCAAATCTGATTGGACATATTCTGGTATGTGTGAATTTCTCTATGGTAATATTTTTCTAGCAAATACCAGATTATAAACACGTGACTGGGAATAAAGAGTGGGTAATAAGAATATCACAGTTGTACATCTGCATATTTTTGTATGTTCATGTGTATTTGGATAAGAAAATTGAAATCCGCTTTATTATCATCTGTTAATCAAGTTTTGCCTTGACACTAACAGTAATATTTGCGCAGAGAAACAAAATACTACATATTACTGATCAATACTTTCTTCTTTTTGGCAGTATAATACACAGTATATTGTCGATAATTTTTTTTTCGTGACAGTGTTTGAAAATATTGATAGTTAGCAATCTTCTCTAGATCTAAATACTTCTAAGAGGGAATGACCTTCATAATAACTGGTTGTTGTAATTCATTAACCTATTTAATAACCTCCAACTGTTCAAAATGATGTGTTTCATTTGACATTCCAGTGAAGCAAAATGACTAGTTGAAGTTAGTGTCTATCGAACTAAAAAGTTATATGGATATTCTTACTATACAGATCCATTGTTAGTAAACTATACCCTGTTAACTTTTATTGATTAAGAATAATATGGGATAGGAAATAGTTGATACTATCCGGTTCATGGTAATTTAAATGAACTAACTTGTAATTACTATTAGCACTACTTAGTTTTAGTGTAATTTGCGGTATTATGTTCGTTGGATGCGTTATTGTTTGCAAATCTTTTCGACGACGTATGTACACAGCAGAAGATAGTCATGAATATACAGTAGATGTTTTTAGATAACAGTACCATATATTGTAAAATTTCATCACAGATTTCGTATATTTGACTTTCACATTTCCTTCAACAGTAAAGATCTGTGATAATTTTCAATATATTTTCCCTGAAAGTGTGCGTTTAAATTTGATCTCACCAATCATCACTATAAAATGCCTTCTCACGTTTCTCATAGGTTAATCGATTATGATAACTCAACTACATCTGAGCACAAAAACTGGATTTTATTTATTGCTTTCAACTCTTGTTATTTAAGTTATCATTTAGTTAATAGAGGATTAGTAAATACTTTCAAACTTCCAGAAATTTCATTTCTGTTGAGCATGTTACAAACTAAAAATTTAGATCAATTACCGGATGACATGTCATAATTAGTAAAAAATGTTTGGCTGCTGTATGTCGGTAACTACAGTTTATCCCACAGTATCATTCTGAAATAACATTATTTCGGTTTGATTTACGAGTTTATATAGTCGGTTTCACATGCTTTATAATCCAATCTAAACAGATATCTCACGGAAAAATGCTAATTAATTCATCAGTTCGCCTCATTCGAAAACACTATTCACAGACAATTTCCACATATCAACGATATACGTCTGAATATCTTAACATTTTTGTGATGTTGCATGCCAACTGACATAACTTGAAATTTTCTTTGTGTTTGGCATTATAAATGATGAAATGCTAGATTTTCGGTCAACGTGCTCTAATTTACACGATTCCAAAGTATTATTCAAACACGTTGGGTTATATTTAAGCATATTTTACAGGCTAACAATGTGTTTCAAACTGAAAATTTTAGTGTCACACAGAATCACCAAACGTCATGATTTTAATCTGTCCATGGTGATCCATGTGGCACAGACTAGGTAATCTCAGATGGATTACCAATCGTATATGTGCAACACATTAGCTAGGAAACTGTACGTTGTCTGCTGTATTTAGTATCTAAAATATTCGCCCACATACTTTTTTCCAGATCTGATTCGTGATAGCTTGAGCTTCTATTTTTATTTGTTATTAATATTTCTGCTTCTTAATTTAATTCATCTTTATTCCTCCCCAGAGCCGATTTCGATATTTGAAATTGGAGTCCTTAATGGAGATGATCTATGGTTTGGATCAATTATTCTACCACGATCTCCATGCTTTAGTGGTATCCTTTGAACAAGAAAGAATGTCAATAGTCTCTCATATGTTCGCGATTCGGCAACCAGAAAAAGTCTTCCCTCAGTTTATAGATTCGTGACTTATTCCTCATTTATACGTTTGTTCTACAAAGATTTTGAAAGCATCTGATTTCTTATTCGTTCAGTTTTGTATAAAAATCTGCGTTGTTTTGTTTGTTTCTGAATAAAACACCGATTACGGACTTATGGAAACTTCGCGTATTTTCTGCCCAAATGTTGAATTTCTCAAAGATTTAAATTTTCGTGTTGAATAATCAGTCAATTATATTATTGTCAAGTGTAACTTTTGGTAAAAAGGAAAATCTGCTTTCAGTTACAGGTATATTTGATATTCCCTCCATTTCTTCATTTTGCATCAAAAATAATTATCAACGACCAACTGTATTCTTCGTTATTTGTTTCATATTAGCATTTCACTGCACCTTAGATTTTAAATTTAAAAATATTGTGGAAAGACCTTTCTGACTAATAAAAAAGTGATAAAGTTGTTTCATACTGATGAGTTACTAAAAGTACTGTTATCACTGAGTTACTATGATTGTCGTAAAATGGACATCACAGTTTGTCTTAAGATGGCATCAGTTTGCTCTGTTTCTCACGCTTGCATTACGTTATAATGAAAATATATCATATAAAATTTTAATGTCGTTGCTAATATATAGTGAAGTTTGAAAACATGATACTGTCGAAACTAACGTACGCTAGTACTTTTGAGTGATAAGAGACTGAATCTACTATTGATTGACGATAATACAGTAGCATAAACTGTCTAAAATCCATATGATCAATTCGTATCATAGCAATACAGAACGAAACCGTGTTTAAAAGTTATATTACCGTGAAACAGTTTTCATACTTATACATTTTAAATGTATATAAAATCTGAGCAACTTTTATCTACTTTTATTTTAATCCTAATTTTCCATATTCAGATTTTTATAACTATTCTTCACAAGTCTAAGTGATAAACAACGCAGTGTCAGTGGCATTTTTAAACTTTTCAGTACTTGGATATCAGGACCTATTGATTTTTCGGAGTAATGTAAATTTGAATGAAACCGGGATTACTTAAAAATAGTTACATCAAGTTTGAAATAAACTATATCTTCCATGAATAAATTTTTTGGGGGGACTATACCTTATGGACTAACCAATCAAGTCGACGATGGAAAACAGTTAGTTTTTATGGGAAATTCCAATTGTCATAAAGAGTAATTTGCACTGTATTACGAGCTAAGTTAACAGTAACCATAGTTTGTTCTTCAGATGCTTGAAGTCGTTTACAGTTTCCTTTCCGCAAATAAACAGTGAATATGACTTCGTTTTCTAAAACAATTGCACATACTGGTCTTTATTATAACTCAAACTGCAATATCTCGAGTGTAATTGATGTGATTAATGATGAAATCTAGGGTATTAATGATATCACTCTACAAAACATATGCATTACAGTGTAAGCGATACTAAAAACAACGCATTTACTTGCGGTTCATGCATTTCAGGGACTGCCGTCTATATGAATCACTGAAGATTGTACTACTAATAATGATTGTTCGTGAACGTTGATTCGTCGACTCTAGCTGACATTTACACCAATAATGTTAAAGAAATATGGGCACGTTAAAAGAACTATACTCTACCCCACAAAAGCCCTAAAGATTCAGATAAACGAAGTCACACGAACCCAATTCGAGCTTACGTTTTGCACGATTAGTACATTTATTCAGGTTTACCAACCATGTAAAAGTCATGTGTATATTCTGATTCTTTGGGTTCAGGTTTTAACCATTCTCCCAAATGCTTTCGAACCAGCAAATTCGGCTCCGAATCGCTCAAAGAGTATATAAGTAACGACTTGTTTAAACTTCATACTTTTTGCTCTTATTTTTCTAAAAATAGCTACTTGAGTATCTGTCTCTCAAATAATTGACGACAAACCATTAAAATACATTTTATCTCTCTTTTTTATTTCATAAGAAACTTCTCAAAACTCGCACGTCTAAAACTATATCAATAGGTAATTTTACATTGTCTAATATAAAGTATATTGCTGCACCTCATTAGCACAACGAACTGGTTTACTGAGTATTTGATGAGCGAACCACTTCGTATGTCCCGTATTTCAACCAAAGTTTAAACTCTAACTAACATATAGACAAGATTAATCCGATCAAATGAAAACAGAAAGTGTTTAGGAAGTATTTATACTAGAAAAACAGCATCTTTATGTATCTAACTGCTCCAAATAATGTATTTCCAGTTAAATTATAGAAACTTCAGGCGAAAAATGTTCTTGAGACGAGTAAATTTCCAGTTTGAGAGGTTTTTGATAGCTGTCAAGTGAACGGCTTACCAAATTATTACTACATGAATATTTGTGTGATTAAACACAAATGGTTTTGAACATATGAATGAATGGTTTTTAGCAGTCTATGCGGCTCCCAATATTCTCTACGTTGTCTATCATGTATTGGATAGGGTCGTCTGGCTGAAATAAAGCTATTTCGTAAACAAGTTTCTAAGTTATCTGGAAATTTGTTAGGTTAATTGTACTTGCATCAGCCTCACAATTCCATGTTTCTCTAAATAATTGATTGCTGTAGATCTCGGATCCTCAGCAGCTTTCTCAACTTCAGAAGGTCCTGAAAGACCATCAAGTACTATGTCCATAACTTTTGTTTCTGTTACCGAGTCGTTTCTAGTGTCTTATGTCCAATGTTTCCTACATCCAATATCCAATATCTTTTTCTCTAGCTAGTATAAACCAGTTGATTTCTTTGCGGTCGGTTCTCGTTCTTTCGGTACGGTTGCAGGTGTTTGGTAGTGTCCAATTAATGGGATCTAGCCACTTCACTGTCTAATTATAGTCAGTTGTCCGTTTTTTGTGAGTTTGTATATCTCAGGATTTAAATGAAAACGTTTGTTTCAGAACAGTAGGGTTTCTGGATACCAGCAGCTATCACATCACCAGTTCGGAGATCAGTTAGTCGCAATGTCGAGATGTAATAAGGAGAAAATTCTAATGCTAATATGAATAACATTTCAGAACTAAGTAATACATAGATAATTTAATTTATTAATTGGTAGTGAAGATTGTGAGAGAGGACTGAAGTGTAAGCGAGGGAGAGGAAACAGAGATAATAGGTGAAATAGATTAACTTAGTGATCTGAAGAGATAGCAATGATAACAACTAGCAAGTCTCAAGATATGCATCAGGTACAGCTTGTCCACTAAGGTTGCTGTGGTCACCTCGGCCTGGAGAGTATTCCAAGTTGCGACGACTATCAATGAGAAAAAGTGTTCACGAATCTGAGTATTAGCTATTTGATGTGCAATTTTTCGTGGATTTGCTCGACGGGAGTGGTAGTTATGCATCGGTAAGATGAACATGTGGGGATGATTAGCGTGTCTAATATGTTGCACGCTTTTATCAGATCACTTCTGACTCTCTTTTAACTCAGAGGGAATAATCCCAAATGCTGGAGTCTTTCTTCGCAGGTTTTATTTTTCAACCCAATCATCCATTTCGTTGGTCGTCTCTGCACTCAATCCAGGAGATTTGTCTCTTTTAGGGAAGTTGTGAACCTCAAGGTGTGGGCGTGCATGTCTTAAACAGCGTTGAGAAAAATTTTGGGCTGATAGCTCCACGTTGTCTTCGCATAAACTGAAGAGTTTCATTGGCTGCGCCCCTTATGTAGTTCAAGCTGATGTGGAGGCTTCCAGTAATAACTAAACCGTGATCGCGGTCTGAGGAGGCATTAAGGAGCGGACTTCCATTAAGGGACTAAATCCTTTGCGTTAGGTGCGACAGAATGTACATGACGTGACACTTCGGGTTGTTTAGTTTGAAACCCTTTTCACTGCCCATTCTTCGACGGATGTAAGGTCCTTTTGGAGCTCAGTCGAATCCTCTTATCTTCTGATGAACCTTTAGATCTTTTCATCGCCTGCGTAGATCAATGTCGCTGAGCTGTTGGACAGGTCGTGAATGAATATTAGGATAAGAAGTGGACCTAAGATGGTCCCCTGTGAAACTCCTGATGTTCATACTCGCCAGCTCAAATGCACTTTATTTATCTTAGTGTGAAACTTTCTGTCCTGAGGGAAGTTTCCAAGCCAACATAGAAGTGGGTCAGTGAAGCCCATGTTTGCAATTAGGAGTTCATACGGTACTGTCGAAGGTTTTGCGAAGTCAAGAAAGATTATGTGAAATGGTATTTCTCTGTCCCAGCAGGTTGTCCAGCTGTCCTATGCTATAGGAACATTGGGTGCGCAGGACATGCCCCTCCGAAAGCCATATTGAGGTTCATGGGGTAATTAATTCTTACCAATGTACTCCTTCACTTGTTCGTTCACCAGCCCTTCTATTACCTTCGATACTATTGATAGTTATGCGAATGGTCTGTAACAGGCCGGGTCCTTCCTGTCCCCTCCTTTAAGGATTAGAAAGAGTAGCTTGTTTCCATCCAGCTGGGAGATAGTGTGACTCTAGTGAAGGCTTGAACAGGTCACACATCGGTGAACTGAGCGCCTTTGCACACTGTTTCAAGACTACGAAGCGAACATTGTCATGAGAATTTTAGTTTTAGTACTAAGTCACGAGTAATACGAATATTCACTAAGCCGCCGGCTGGCACTGGGTTTGCATAGTACTCTGAACATCTTGATACCTGGTTTATGTTGAAGATCCCAGCCATCGATAGGTTGGTGTGATCTTCTTCATTCAGACTAATAATAATAATAATAATTTATTCTCAAATAAAAAACATATTACAAGAGACATGCCAGTTTACAGGCAAGATCAAAATGTTAAGATTAGCAACATATTTTTTTCTGAAAACGGTATACAGTTACTGAAACATTTCACAAGATTCATTGTTTTCTTAAAGATGGAATGTACAAAGCGATCAATTGGCGCAAGTTACGAAGGTTGCGTTACGAAAATCATCTTATGGACTGAGAAACGATTCATGGTACAGACGGGTTTTCATATTACAAGAATTGATGCGGTAAATGTACAAAAGTCTGGTTGATATTCGTCAGCTAATGATTTCACAT